GAGACAGGATCTCACTACGTTGCCCAGGCAGTCTGAACTCCTGGATCTGGCAACCCTCCTGCCTCAGCCTCCCAAAGTGCTGGGATTATAAGTGTCAGCCACTGCATCCAGCCTCTTCTGCCCATCTTTAAACTGAGTTATTTGCTTTTCTACTATTGAGTTGTATGAGTTCTTTATACATTTTGGATAGTAACCCCTTATCAGGTATATGATTTGCAAGTAGTTTTTGCAATCTGTAGGTTGCTGTTTCATTGTACTGATTGTTTCCTTTGCTGTGCAGAAGCTTTTCAGTTTAAAATAGTCCTATTTATTTTTGCTTTTGTGGCCTGAGCTTTTGCTGTAATATCCAAAACATCATCACCAAGGCCAATGTCCCAGAGTTTTCCCCCATGTTCTCTTCTAGGAGTTTCATACTTTCTGGTTTTATTTTAGGTCTTTCATCCAATTTGAGATGATTTTTGTGTATGGTATAAATAAGGGTCCCATTTCATTCTTTTGCATGTGAAAATGCAGTTTTCCCAGCACTACCTGTCAGACAGACTATCCTTTCCCCTTTGTGCCTTCTTGTCAAAAATTAGTTGGCTGTGTATGTTTGGATTTATTTCTGAGTCAAGACTTATTATAAAGCTACTGTCATCAAGACATTGTGGTATTGGCATGGAGACAAAAGGACTGAGAGAAAAGAATAGAGTTCAAAAATAAAGTCACATGTAAGTATGGAAAAATGAATTTTATATGAAGGTAAAAAGTTAAGTCAAGAGAGAAAGAAGAGTCATTTAAAACAAGTGGTGCTGGAACAACTGGATATCTACATGCCAAAAATATAAACTTCTAACCATTTCTCACACCATATACAAAAATTAACTTGAAATGGGTCCTATACTCAACTATAAATTTTAAAACGTTAACACTTCTAAAAGTAAAATTAAGAAAAAAACTTTTTTAAAAAAATTTCGTTGAACTTGGGTTCAACGAAGTTTTCTTAGATATACCATCAAAAGTATGATCCATAAAAGAAAAAAATAGATAAATTAAACTTTATCAAAATAAAGATGTTTTTCAAAAGACACTGTTAAGAGAATGAAAAGACAAGACACAGACTGAGAGAAAAAGGATTTGTATCCAGAATATGTAAAGAACCAAGACTCAATTGTAAGAAACCAATCAACCCAGTTTTTAAAATAGACAAATGATTTGGACACTTGACCAATGAAGATATACAAACATCGAATAAGCACATGAAAACAAGAAGGACATCATTATTCAGTGGAAAAGGGCAAATTAAAATAACAATAAGGTATAGAAGTATTAGAAAGACTAACGACTAACCAGGCCAAATAAGTGCTGACGAGGATGTGGAGGAACTGAAACTACCACAGACTGCTGTTGAGAATGTAAACTAGAACAAAAACTTTAGAAAGTAATTTGGTAGTTTCTTAAAAAATTTAACATGCAAATGTCATATGATCCATTCATTCCACTACTAGGCAGTTTCCCCAGAGAATGAAAGCATTTGTCCAGATGAAGCTTGTACAGTAATGTTTATAGCAACTTCCTTTAGAATAGCCCCAAACTGGAAATCATCCAAAAGTCTATCAACAGCTGAACAGATAAACTGCAGTATATTCATTAAATAGAACTCCACTCAGCAATAAAAAGAATGACCTATTGATACACATTACAATATGGATTAATCTTAAAATAATTATACTTAGTGAAAAAAAGTGCTTACTGCATGATTCCATTTTTTAAGAGTTCTGAGAAATGCTCATAGTGACAGAAAGCAGCTTAGTGGTTGGCTGTGACAGGGTAGTAAAAGGTAGAAAAAGGAATTACAAAGAGGCATGAGAAAACTTGGGTGCTATAGATTTGTTCAAAACATGTATCTGCCACAATGATCTTGATAGCCTCCATTACTTGTTTTTGTTTGTTGTTTGTTTTTTTTCTTTTTTTGACAGAGTCTCATTCTTTCACTGAGGCTGGAGTGTAGTGGTGTGATCTTGGCTCACTGCAACCTTTACCTTCCGGGTTCCAGCAATTCTCCTCCCTCAGCCTCCCAAGTAGCTGGGATTACAAGCATGCACTACCACACTTGGCTAATTTTATTTTCAGTAGAGATGGGGTTTCACTATGTTGGCCAGGCTGGTCCCGAATGCCTGAACTCATGATCCAACCCCACTGGCCTCCCAAAGTGCTAGGATTACAGGAGTGAGCCACTGTTCCCAGCCGCCTCCATTACTTTTCTGATGAGACTTGTGACATTAATAAATGTGTGATATTACATAATGAGTTATATCATTATTTGAAATATCTGCATGACTTGGTGATCTGATATTTTCCGAATGACTGAAGCATAATAATATAAAATCATGCACGGGTAAAAGATGCATTCAAACTGCAAGATCAACGAATGAACTTAATGTAACTGAATATGAAAAGTTCACGAGTAAGGTTTGAGATTGCACATTGCAAACAGCCTTTAGGAGAATTTAGCAAAATCTACTATGGTGGGTAGAATTTGAATATGGCCTTCCAAATATGTCCTACTCTAATACCTGGATCCCTATGAGTGTAAGTACTACTCGTAATATGTTCTATCATGTACAGTTGACCTTAAAATAAGATTACCCAGGTGTGCCTGATCTAATCATACAAGCCCTTTTAAAAGTAGAGAGTATTCTTTACCTAGTAACATAAGAGAAAGTTAGAAAAATTTAAAACACTTGAAGGATTTAGCAGGCCCATGCTGGCTTTGAAGATAGAAAGACCATGTGAAAAGGAATGTAGGCAACCTCAAGGAGCTAAGAGATGCCCCTGGCAGACAGCAGGCAAAGAAATGGGAACTTTAGACGTATAGCTGCAAGGAACACGATTCTGCCAGCAACTGAATGAGTCTGGTAGCAGATTCTTCCCCAGAGTCTCCAGATAACAGCTCAGCCTGACATCCTGATTTTGGCTTTGTAAGACCCTGAGCAGAGAACACAGTCAAGGCTGTCAGGACTTCTAACCTACAGACCCTGTCAGGTAAAAAAATGGGTGTCACTTTAAGCCCTCAGATTGTGATAATTACTTATGGAGAAATCAAAAGCTAATACATTTACGTAAATCAAAATACAGAAACTCGGATCCAACAATCTCACTACTGAATTTTTACCTATAGATACACTTCCAAATGATTCTTACAGTTAGTCCAAGGATATTCATTGAACACTTTGTAAAAACAAATAATAAAAATGACCAAAGTATCCACAAATAAAGTTGTGGTTAAATAAATTATGTAAATCCACAAAATGGAATATTCTGTAGCCATTACCAGAAAAAGGTAGAATTGTATAGATAACTGTAAAACAGTAAAACCATCACACATTATAGTAATAACAACAACAACAAAAAAGCAAGATCTGAAATACTGTTGGAGTATAATTTGTTTCATAATTAAATTTAAAGCATCTGTATTAAACATTTTTCTGGAAAAAAAATTTTAAAACTGTAAGCAGCAATTTGAGAGAGACTGAGTGGAAGGTTTCATTTTCAATTTTCTACCTTTCATTATATTTTCAATTTTCTAATGAAGTTTATTATTCTTATTCATTTAAAACATATAAACAGAGGTTACTAGTCAGAGTCTAGATAAACACTTGCTTGGCTCCTGTACAAAACTATCTTCTTTTGTTTTATTTAATTTGGACTTGCCATCTGGAATTTGCATCTATGGTCCTTTAACAATTACAGTAAGACCAAAATCACCTTTCTTCAAGTCCGTCCCACCTCCCAAATCTAAGTTTTTCAGTAGCATTCCTTATTATTCAGGGGCTTCATTTGCATCCATGTAAATGTTAGTATGTATTTATAATATTTACACATTTAAACCATTAAAACATACAATGTACCTAACACAGACAATGCCATCCTGATGAGGATAAAGATGATAATGAGCTAGGTATTCTGCAGTTACATGGTAATATTGAGAAATATTTCAATAGCAAGCAAAGTAGTATAACAAAACAGGACCAATAATTACAAATCATGAAAAATTAATTTCTGTAAGCAGAAATTAATGAGCTATCTACAATATATTTACATATTTTAATTTAGAAATGTTTTTCATATTTCTTTAAATTTCTCCTAAAATGAGTAAATAATTTTTAAAAGTAAATTCCTTTCACTTATTAAATACTCTATTTGTAAAGCTTATGAGATCAAATTTTACTTCTGATTGTATTTTCTACAACAGGACGTTGGACAATGAAAAAAACTTTAAAACATACTATTAATATAGCACTTCAAAGTTTTCTTTGTCAAAAGTTGTTAACATAAAGGTGTTGAAAGTCACCAGAAATAAATACCAAGACATATTCATAGACTGATCACCTTTTTGTTTGTCCACATATGAAAGAAGTTCATAATTCAAAAGTGAGTCAAAGCATTGCGAGATTATTACATATGACCATCAAAAAAGAGGTTGTGCAGGGTGCTGTGGCTTATGTCTGTAATCCCAGCACTCTGGGAGGCCAAGGCAGGAGAATCACATGACCCCAGAGTTTAAGACCAGCTTGAGCAACATAGTGAGACTCCATTTCTACAAAAAAATTATTAAAAATTAATTCAAACATTTAGAAGAGAGGTTGTGTGGAGATGTACTTGGAAAATGATATACAATGAACTAAATATAAGATAGTACTGTCACTGTTATAAAGTCTAAGTACACTATCTTTTTCTAGTGTTTTGCACATAAAGATTATATATAACTGAATTCCATATGTAACTATATTCTAATAATAAATCTGTCTTTTTAAAAAAGCAGTTGACATTTTCTAGAAAACAGCAAAGTGCTACAGCCTATAAAAATACTGACTATAGGTACAGACTCTTTTGTTATCTGGAAATGTTAGACAAAATCCTTGGAAACTTTACAAGGAGAAATCAAAGAGACTGAACATATAAAAACAATAAAACATGACATTAAAATGTCATCATGCAAAATTATCAGATCACATTACCTGAAACCAGTTCCATAATGATGTAGACAGGCTGTCTTTGTGTGCAAACTCCTATAAGTTTGACAATATTCGGATGATCATATTGCTTGAGAATTCTAGATGAGATGAAAATATAAGAATAGTTATCATTTGAATAATAAAGCATTAATTTGTGATCACACATAGTGTTTACAACTAGAATACTCTTGAATCATAATTCAATTTTTAAAATTTTGGTATGACCCCAAATTATGATAAATTAGATGTATACAAATGAGTAAAGTCTTCCCTCAGTATCTGTAGGAGATTGGTTCCAGGACCCCCGTAGATACTGAAATTTATGCATGTTCAAGTCTCTTACATAAAATGGTGCAATATTTGCATATAATCTACATGCATCCTCTCACGTATTTTAAACCATCTCCAGATTATTTTTAAGACCTAATATAATGTAAACGTTATATAAATAGTTGTTATACTGTATGGTTTATGGAATAATAAGAAAAAAATTCTGTACATGTTCAGTACAGATGCAATCATCAACTTTTTTCCCCCTAATATTTTTGTTCTGTGGCTCATGAAATCCACAGATACAGAACCCATGGACACAGAGGCCCAACCATACTGGTACATATTGGCAACATAATATGGATGCAAATGAGTCAATTATCCTTAATTAAATATTCTTTTAAAAATTATTATCTACTCTGAATGATTAACAACCATGTTAAATAGAAATGAACTAGTTAATCTAAAACATGTACAACTCCCTTCAAATTATAATATCTGGTTTTAGCCACTACCACAAAAGTATAGCTGAAAAGTATCAGTGGGCCAAAAATTGTGAGCTGCTGGGGCAGCATACATATATTTATTTTTAACACACATACTTGATTTTAAAATACAGAAAATAAGAAATCATTTTATACTGGTAAATGCTACATTTCATTGGATTTTGTAATAGTTAAATACTTTCTTGATCAGGATCAATTTCAAAATGGTAGAAACAAAAGTTCTGAGAAAGTTGGCAAATGGATAATTGAATAATAGAGTTTCAACAGAGACTTCAGCTGAAGCAGAGTTGACTTTGGATAAGGGCAAAATTTCATCAGTGGGCTATGAAAGTAGGATAGACTTGAAACCATGTCCCTAAAGAGTTAAGAAAAAAATCGCAGCACAGTAATGACTAACAAAAATTCTTGAGTTTGCAGGATAGCACATAAAAAAAGAAACAACTTGCTCTATCACTGAAACTCCCGTTGTTTATAAAAGAACTGCTGAAATTGGTTTGAAGAAATAGGGCTAACTGGCATCTATGCAGGAACAAGCTTGCTAACATCACGGCCTGAATTTCCAGTACATAGTTTAGACTAACTCCCCCTGGATTTGCACATATGAACCATGAGATTGCATGAAGAGATAACCGTGTGTGGCCAAGGACTTTCCAGGCCTCCCATTTCCCCTTCCACTAATCACTTAGTAATTTCAGAATCTACCCCCTCAACCTTTTCTAATAAAAATATTGCTCTGAAATCATTAACAGTTGATGTTTAACAGTAAGTTTTTCTTTTCTCAAAGACCTGGTGTCACGGTATTGGCTTCTAGCACATTGGGCAGTGAGCCCCTTCTACTTGATAATGCAGTCACCTATAGAACTCCAAACATGAGCTAAAAATAAACTAAATTCCCTCTGATGCCTGTCTGTCCCAATTATTTCTATTACCAAATCTTATTCTTTATCTTATCGACATAGTTGTAAATTCACTCATATTTGAAAATTGCTGTATCCTTTCCTAAGAGAACGAAAAAGGTAACTTCGGAGAAAGACAAAAAATTTATGCATGTATTGTACATGTACAACTAAAGCAAGGAGAGCTATAAAAATGTTTTAGACAATATAAAAAGATAGAAATGAAAAGACAGACTGGCAAGAATTCTAAAGGAAATATTCTGCCAATAACTTTGGCCTTGCAACTTCTACTAGAAATTTAAAAGAAAGGTTTAATGATGTTTGACTTTAATATTTTAATTTCACAGGTTAGAAACTGTCTAAGAAATTTGCACAATACAGCATGAACTCAGATAATATTAAATATCTAAATATATACTTCTAGTGTATACTAGAGGACACTTGGAAGTTTGCATGAATGTAAGTTTCGTTTTTAACATAAAACTATAATTTCACCTTAAAAGAAGAAATTAAACTCTGCAATAAAAAAAGTTAGAAAGCAAGAAATTTAAATATTTTTGAAAACATGTGAGGCACAGTCTTTTACCTTAATACTTATGAACAACTGTAAAATAACGAGGCTGTGAATTTCAGTTGTGTTCACATGCCTTTTAATTCATCATAATTTCTTTTCTGACTTGCCAACAAGTCATGAAAAAGGTTTACTGCTTTACTCTGCAGATAACATTTCATAAATGCATCCAACTACTTTAGCCATTGCCATTATTCATTTTTAGATGATGAATTAGTATATATATTAGTATATATACATGGCTGTATGCCATGTAACTTATGAATAGTTCTCTTGTTGCCATGGCAATATTCTCCCATTGCACTTTCCTTTTAATACACAAAAACATATGGATCCATGTATCCTCTTCCTTTCCCATCCATCCATCCATCCATCCATCCATCCATCTGTCCATCCATCCATCCATCCATCCATCCATCCATCCATCCATCCATCTGTCCATCAATTCATCCATTTCCCACCCACATGTCCATCCAGGTTACTCTTTCCAAAGTGGCTTCTGGAAAGATGCATTTGTTTTGTGTTTTGTTATATATACTCAATTTTACCACTAACAGAAGAGTTTTAAGTATGTGCAACATAGGTAGCAGGTATTATTTTCTATTATTTAGCTAATAATAGAAAAAAAAGAGAATCCATCATCTTAGAAGATTAGAAACAAAAAAATATGCAAACTTTAGAAGAAATGCCAGATACTGAGGTGAAGAAATCTGAGGTTCTCAGAAATGAAATCTAACGGCTGAGAAAACAGAACCAAGCCGTACTATCTAAGGAGAGTAGGACAGATTTAATTATCTACTTAAACATATATGTAAGCTGTACAGTTCATGTACATAATATACTAATTTTTTATAATAAGCACAGTATTGCATGTATACATATACGTATATGTATGTGTGATGAAAGCAAAATAATGTAACATTTTAAGAACTTGAATAATACTGCTTTTTAACACTTGGTTTGACTATGATTGCTGAATTGATCTGCAGATTATTACAAAAGGATAGACTTTTGGATTCCACATTGTAAAAGTGCTTACCCCTACTATTTCAGTAAATCACAATTTAAGATGCCTTCAAACCTACATTTTAATAAATCATTTACATAACAAATACATACTTTGATTAATTTAAATAACTCACTTGGCTTCTTGTAAAAATTTTATTTTCAATTCCTGAGGAAGATCTTCTTTACATGTTTTAACAGCAACAGAAGTTTTATCCTTTAATGTGCCCTTATATACTTCACCAAAATTTCCCTGAAAATAGAAATATATTCATTGTCTGGGGTAAATGACAGCATGTAAATCTTCACCAAATACAAGCAAAGGTACCAAGGAGGAGGAAGGTGCTTACCTACATGTCAGTATCACCTGAGATTAACTAATTTCTATCAGACATAAGAACTTCTAACTTTACTCTATGGCTAGGACATATTTTGGTATAAAATGCCTGATTTGGCTGGGCACGGTGGCTGACTCCTGTAATCCCAGCACTTTG